TAAATCAATTGACAATTCAGTAATAAGCTCGGTAAATACTGTGTAATATTAATATTCATGTTTGGGTGGTTTCAATGAACGGATCATATAATCGATATAACTGTGGACTTCTTCGCAAGAATTCAAATATAACGGTAGTTCCTATTCGAGGGAAATCAGTAACGGTATGCTAGTTCTACCTTCCCACTAGCGAGGGCTGTAACGGTAATCGGTAATTACAAGGTGCACTAGGTCTAACGAACCCACCGTTAGCTACGGGATCATTCAAAGTCAACTCCTATTTATACTTGTCTCTGTAATCCGTATATACTCATAAGAAAATATTTTAATACAATATAGGGCATTTCGGTTCTTATCAAATCATGTAATTTTATTTCGATAACCATAAATTCAAGTAACACTAAAACATATCTAGTGACAACAAGAATATTTAAAACAACGGTAATCATCTCAAATAACTATTTCGATATCATATCGAGTAAAAGACTTGTCCCACATGCAACTCAAAATAATCGGTAACATATTCATATTGAAAATCATGTATAAATCATGCAAGTTATGTAAACACAAATTGCGGTAAGATTACTACTCACAGTACTCGTGTAAAATACTAAATTCTTCACCTCGAGCGATCCATACGACTTTCTTCAATCAATCTATAACCACATCAACATCGATCTCGTGTTAATTGCCTCATTTAGGCTAAATTCATCAGTAATTTAGAATATCCAATCCTCTGAGGTTTATATTTGACTCTTAATTCGATGAATTATATTTACCCAAAAATTTCTCTTATTCTACTTGAAATATCAAGACCCATTTCAGTATCCCAACTCACTACTATAAATTTCCATTGTAATATTTTATTTCAATATCACTAATATTAGTAGCAATCATATTTGGTTACCAATCACCAACGAAACGAAAAAGTTTCAGAAGGAATATCCTTTTTTTATTGGTATATACACAAATATATAAGTATACAATTCCAAACATATAGTATATTCACCAATTCATGAAAAATTCCATGGACTCTATTATTTCATAAATATTAATACTTCAACTAACTCTCAACCCAACTCTATAGCCATGGAATTTATGAATCAAATCTATGAATTAAATTTAGAAATTTACATTTTTCTTCTCTGTTTAATTAGCTTTCTGTGTTGAATACTTGTGATCCTCTTCAATGGCAGAAAACTAAAACCTCACGTTTCCTTTGATTCTCAAAAGTGGCTTACAAGGATTTTTCTTTTTTTCCTTTCTTTTTTTCTATTGCCTTGAATGCTTTGTGCCTCCCGTAATGGGATTTGGCCCTAATCCCCCTTTTTTGATTTTTTTAAATTAGTTTGCTAAAATAACCAATATGCCCTTTTCTTTAAAAAAAATTACGAGATATTACATCCTCCCCATCTTATAAAAATTCGGTCCCCGAATTTAACCCAAGTACGTACCTGTAGACTGAAATAAATAAGGATACTTGACTCGCATAGCATCTTCAACTTCCCCATGTAACTTCTTCAACTGTATGGTTTCTCCATATGACTTTCACGAACACAATTTTCTTTGACCGTAGCTTTATTACTTTTCTATCAACAATTGCCATCGGCTCCTCCTCGTAAGACAACTTCTCATCAAGCGGTATAGTCGGTGCTTCAAGAACATGAGAGGAGTCCGATATATATTTTCTAAGCATAGAGAAATAAAATACTAGATGAATAAAAGATAACTCAGGAGGAAGTGCCAAACGATAAGCCACAGCTCCCACTCGTTCTAGTATCTCATACGGTCCTACAAATCTGGGTTTCAACTTGCCTCTTTTCCCATATCGCATCACATCCTTCATAGGAGAGACTCGTAGGAATACTTTGTCTCTAGTTGCGAACACTAAGTCTCTTCTTCTCTTATCCGCATAAGATTTTTGTCTGCTTTGAGATGTAATCAAGCTTTGTCTGATCAACTAGACCTTGCCTATAGCTTCTTGTACTAAGTTGGGTCCTAATAAGTTAGTATCACCAGCTTCAAACCATCCGATAGGAGAACGACATCTTCTACCATACAGTGCTTCGTACAGTGCTATTTGAATACTGGACTAGAAGCTATTATTATAAGCAAATTCAACTAAAGGTAGATAAGAGTCCCAACTACCTCCAAACTCAAGAATGCAAGCTCTAAACATATCCTTCAAGATCTATATAGTACGTTCAGACTGCCCGTCTGTCTGTGGGTGAAATGCAGTACTAAGATCTACTCGTGAACCCAGTGCTTCTTGAAAAGATTTCCAAAAGCGTGAAGTGAACTGTGATCCTCTATTAGATATGATGGATACTGGAACTCCGTGAAGTCAAACAATTTCGTTCATAAATATCTGTGCATATCTTACTCCACTATACGTAGAATTCACTGGCAAAAAGTGTGTTGATTTTGTCAATCGATCTACAATCACTTATACAGAGTCATAACCTCTAAGGGTTCTTGGTAGACCGGTGACAAAATCCATATTAATTCTTTCACATTTCCACTCTGGAATCTCAATTTGTTGTAACAGTCTTGCGGGTCACTGATGCTCAGCCTTGACCTGCTCACAAGTCAAACAACTAGAAACAAAGTTAGCAACATCTTTTTTCATACCTTCCCACCAATAAAATTGCTTTTGGTCATGATACATTTTTGTGGATCCAGGATGTATAGTGTATCTAGAGTTGTGAGCTTCTTTAAGAATAGCATGCCTCAACCCATCTATGTCTGCAACACATAGCCTGTCACCCATTCGAAGAACACCATCACTTTCAACAATCATATCCTTGCTTTTACCAGCTAAGGCCTCATCACTGTATTTACAAAATCATTCATCCTCATATTGGGTGGCCTTAATGCGCTCAACTAATGAAGACTTAGCATGAGCACAAGCCAACAATGCCTCTTGAATCTCTGACACTAAATCTGATACCCGCACCTTCTAGTCTCTGAATATCTTTGGCCAAAAGTCTCTTTGTAGGAGCTATATGTGTCAAACCCCCCATAGATTTTCTACTCAATGCATCAGCCACCACATTGGCTTTTTCAGGATGATACAAAATAGAACAGTCATAGTCCTTGAGTAGTTCCATCCACCGACGCTGACGAAAATTTAGATCTATCTACTGAAAGATATACTTCAGACTTTTATGGTCAGTATAAATCTCACAAGTTTCGCCGTATAGGTAATGCCTCCAAATATTTAGAGCAAATACCACTGCAGCCATCTCCAAATCATGTGTAGGATAGTTTTGCTCGTGCTTTTTCAATTGCATCAAAGCATAAGCTATAACGCGGCCATTTAGCATGAGAACACATTCTAATCCCACCCTTGATGCATCACAAAACACCGTAAATCCTCCAGAACCCGATGGTAAGGCTAATATGGGTGTGGTAGTCAAACACGTTTTGAGTTTTTGAAAGCTCTGCTCATATTCTTCCGTCCACTGAAACCTTGCATTTTTCTGTGTTAGCTTAGTTAGTGGCGCCGCTATTCTGGAGAAATCCTACACAAAATGCCTGTAATAGCCTGCTAAGCCTAAAAAGCTACGAATCTCTGTAGGAGAAGTAGGTCTAGGCCATTTCTGCACAGCTTCTGTCTTCTTAAGATCTACCATAATTCCATCTTTGGATACAACATGCCCCAGAAATGCTACTAAGTCTAGCCAAAATTCACACTTCGAGAACTTAGCATAAAGCCGATGTTCTCGCAATGTCTGCAACACAATCCTGAGATGATTCTCGTGTTCTCCTTGACTACGAGAATATATCAGGATATCATCAATAAATACTATTACAAATCTATCCAGAAACGGCTTGAACACCCTATTCATTAAATCCATGAATGCAGCTGGAGCATTAGTCAGTCCGAAAGGCATCACAAGAAACTCATAGTGCTCGTATCGAGTTCTGAAAGAAGTCTTAGAAATATCATCATCTTTGATTCTAAGCTGATGATAACAAGAACGAAGGTCAATCTTTGAAAAGTGAGCAACTCCTTGTAACTGATCAAACATGTCATCTATACGAGGCAAAGGATATTTATTGTGTATTGTTATCTTGTTCAACTTCATGTAGTCAATGCACATTCTCAAGGATCTGTCTTTCTTCTTTACGAACAGTACTGGTGCACCCCCATTGAGATATACTCAGTCTGATATAACTCTTATCTAACAAATCCTGCAGTTATTGTTTTAGCTCCTTCAACTCTGTTGGTGCTATCCGATATGGGGGTATTGATATGGGCTATGTGTCAGGTGGCAAATCAATACCAAAATTTATTTCTCGTACTAGAGGCAATCTTGGTAAATCCTCAGGAAATACATTAGAAAATCCTCACTGGTGGTACATTTTCTATACTAACTGTTTCCTTTCTTGTTTCATTTATAATAGCTAAGAGACCCAAGCAACCTTTCTTCAGAAGTCGTTGAGCCTTCATAAAGGATACAAAATTGGAAATCTCTTGAACCTCACTCTCTCTTAGAATAAAACTGCGTTCGTTTGGTATTTCAAATTTAACTATGTTTGCATGACAATCGACGATAGCATAGCAAGAATATAACCAATCCATTCCCATCAGCATGTCAAAGTCAATCATATCAAGTACAATAAGGTCAGCTAGAGTATCTCTATGCTCAACCCGAATCTGACAAGCACAATACACATATTCAGCTAATAGAGACTCCCCAATAGGAGTAGCAACTAGAAAAGGATCATTCAATAGCTCAGACTGTCTACTAAACCTCAAAGCAAAGTACGAGGACACTTAGGAGTGAGTAGAGCTCGGATCAATCGACGTAAGTGCATCAAATGAATAGACATAACGAATACATGTAACCACTGCATTCGAGGCCTGAGTATCCTGTCTAGTAAATGCAAAAACTCTTGCCTGGCCTCTACCAGCATTCCCTTGTCCTTGATTCACAGTAGCACGATCTCCAGCACCTCGACCTCAATTTCCTATACCTGTAGCACCTAAGGTATTACGAGTAGTTTGAGTGTGCAGCTGACTGAGTAGAAGCCTGGTTGAAATTCCTCGTAGGCTGAGGGCAATCCCTCAAGTGATGTCCCAACTGGCCACATCGAAAGCACTCTCTAGTCAAAACACGACACTGGCCCAAATGTGATCTACCACAGGTCTGGCAGACTGGAGTAGTGGCATATATTTTCCCAGAATTACGATGTCCATATGATGATGATGGTCCCCTAGTACCCTGTCTGTAATGTGGTATGTATGCGGACTGTGAAGACAAATGTGTCCCTATCTGAGAACCCTGTTGATGTTGTCCCTGATATACCGCTCTGCAATTTTCACTAAAACCTCCATTGAAAGATCCTCCTGTCTTGGCCTTCTTACGTAATTCACTAGCTGCACGCTCATTATGTCCCTTATTTTCAATCTTTCTAGCGAGATCAACTGCATCAGTGTAGGACGAAGTCTTCATCTGTGGGGTTACTGCAGTGTATAGATGACCAACCAACCCATCAACAAACCTCCGAACTCGAGCTTCATGGGTAGGCAAAGAGCATATCTCGCCAGATTACAAAACTTCGTGTTGTAGGTTGACACATCTATATCTAGAGTCTGAACCAATCTTTCAAAGTCTCTAGCATATTTTTGCCTCAGGCTTCCTAGAAGAAAATGATCCATAAACAACTTACTGAATTCGTCCCATGTCAGTAGGGCTGCTTATGCTGGCCTTCCTAGAAATATAGTTTCATACCATGTGTTAGCCATATCCTCTAGTTTGTATGTTGCGAGCTCCACGACCCTCTCACTAGAACATCCTAGAGCACGCAATGCCTTGAGTGTCCCATCCAAGAAACTTTGAGGATCTGCTGAATTATCAGAACCTGTGAATTTTGGTGATTTTAATTTCAGGAACTCTTGTAGGGATACTTCCTTATTCCCGAAAGTCTTAGTCTGTGCAGGTGCTTGTGTCTGTAAAGTAGCCTGAAGAGATGAACTTCCACCTTGAGTAGGCATCAATGCCTCTAACACATTCAATAACCTTTCCACTGCGTCTGTAGGTAAGGCAACAGTAGGTACAACAGTTGGCACTAGTGATGGAGCATCCTGAACCCATGTTCTTGCACTTGATCTGGCATAGTAGCTTGGGGTTGACCCATGTTCTCAACTTCAGGTTGAGGAGCAGCCTGTCTTCTAGTTTGATGAACCCCAACTTGACCACCACCCCGGGTAGTACCACGTCCAGCACCACGTCCAGCAGATGAGGGTGTGCGTGTCCTAGCCATATGCGAAAGAAATACTCCGAAGTCAATCTCAAGTTATCTCAACGCACGATCAAAGAATGAAAGAAGAAAAAATATTCCTAGATGTTCAGTAGCCTCAAGATCATAAGTATGGGCGTGTACATACTCATGAACAAGACTCTACTAAACATTGCTCCACGACTCAGGACTTAAAGCCTAAGCTCTGATACCAACTTAGTCACTACCAAATTTAGGATCATGACCGGCACTTAGGAGCAAGTGCCCCCAAGTAAGCCTCATCGATATTTTACAGAAAATCGGATAGAGTTTTTCTTGTTTTTGGACTATCCCAAATATTTCCCTGTCTCAAATCAACAACCAACATCCTAATATCAATTCAAACAACAATAATTTTATCAATTAACCAAAACAAATATCTACCATTAATAGTCCATCCACTAACAGCGAAAAATACTAATTTATCTCCAACTTTGATAAGAATGAGCGATACTCAACATAAGTCTATAATAATAAAAGAATACTCATGACACTAAAAGAATGACTATGAAGAGACTCTAAGAGTTCAAAAAAATACCATAACAATAAATAAAATCTCCGCCCACGCGAACAAATACGATGCTCACCAAAAACAATCAACTTGTGCGCTCTAATTAACGAAATCCTCGCCCGCGTCAACTGCTGTTTCTGTAAAAACAATTAGCGGGGAATGAGTCGCTAGCTCAGTGAGTAATAACACTTAACACAACCGATTTTATTGGGGACAAGTTAAAAAACATGCTAGTATATATATTAAGCAGAAAATATCATAAGAATGCCCTTTCAGAAATAATAAACAATAATCAGTCTCATCATGTTTTTCATGTAATATAAATCAATTGACAATTCGGTAATAAGCTCGGTAAATATTGTGTAATATCAATATTCATGTTTGGGAGATTTCAATGAACGGATCATGTAATCGGTATAACTGTGGACTTCTTCACAAGAAGTCAAATATAACGGTAGTCTCTACTCGAGGAAAATCAGTAACGGTATCCTAGTTCTGTCTTCCCACTAGCGAGGGCTATAATGGTAATCAGTAATTACAAGGTGCACCAGGTCTAACGAACCCGCCGTTAGCTACGGGATTCTTCAAAGTCTACTTCCATTTATACTTGTCTCTATAATCCATATATACTCATAAGAAAATATTTTAAAACAATATAGGGCATTTCGGTTCTTATCAAATCATGTAATTTCATTTCAATAACCGTAAATTCAAGTAACGCTAAAACATATCTAGTGACAATAAGAATATTTAAAACAACGGTAATCATCTCAAATAACTATTTTGGTATCATATCAAGTAAAAGACTTGTCCCACATGCAACTCAAAATAATCGGTAACATACTCATATTAAAAATCATGTGTAAATCATGCAAGTTATGAAAACACAAATAGCAGTAAGATTACTACTCACAGTACTCGTGTGAAATAACAAACTCATCACCTCGAGCAATCTGCATGACTTTCTTCAATCAATCTATAACCACATCAATATCGATCTCGTATTAATTGCCTCATTTAGGCTTATTTCATCACTAATTTAGAATACCCAATCCTCCGAGGTTTATATTTGGCTCTTAATTCGTCGAATTATATTTACCAAATAATTCCTCTTATTCTACTTGAAATATCAAGACCCATTTCAGTATCCCAACTCACAGCTATAAAATTCCATTGTAATCTTTTATTTCAATATCACTAATATTAGTAGCAATCATATTTGGTTACCAATCACTAATAAAACGGAAATATTTCTGAAGGAATATCCTTTTTTTATTGGTATATACACAAATATATAAGTTTACAACCCCAAACATATAGTATATTCACCAATTCATGAAAACATCCATGGACTCTATTATTTCATAAATATTAATTCTTCAACTAACTCTCAACCCCAACTCTATAGCCATGGTATTTATGAATCAAATCTATGAATTCAGTTTAGAAATTTACCTTTTTCTTCTCTGTTTAATTATCTTTCTGTGTTGAATACTTGTGGTCCTCTTCAATAGCATAAAACTAAAACCTCACGTTTCCTTTGATTCTCAAAAGTGGTTGATAAGGATTTTTTTTTCCTTTCTTTTTTTCTATTGCCTTGAATGCTTCTGCCGAAGCTTAATGGCTTCTAAGCCTAGGCTTTTGCCTTTTTGTGCCTCCCGTAATGGGCTTTGGCCCTAATACCCCTTTTTGGTTTTATTTTTTTAACTAGTTTGTTAAAATGACCAATATGCCCTTTTCTTAAAACAATTACAAGATATTACAATTCTGTCGTGCGGATTTGTTGATTGTGGATACTAAATTTCTGTTATTTTATTCTCTCACAAATGATGAGGACACGTATTACCGGATCGAACAGTCAGCCACCAGTGCCTCCAGTTAGGGCCGCGAGAGGTCGGGGCCATGAAAGAGGCCGGGGTCGAGGTAGAGGTCGAGGTGTAGCTCGTACAACAGTTGGAGCAGCACCTGTAGTACCACCAGTTGCTCCAGCTCAGGAGCAGATTCTTGATATAGTTGAGCCCCTGAGACCAGCTCAGGCACCAGCTGTGCCCATTGTGATTCCAGGCCTTCAGAAGGCTTTTGCCCAGATATTGACAATTTGCACTGGCCTTGCTCGGGTAGTTTTGGCTCAGGCCGCACCAACCACTTCTCAGGTTGGGGGAGGTACTCATACCCCTGTTGCCTGTACTCCAGTGCAGGTACTGCAGGGACTTCAGATACCAGGGGCACTACCAGCCCAGCCGACTGCAGCTGTTCAGGCCCCGGTAGTCCCTGTTATGGCAGATGATGAGCAGAGAAGACTTGAGATATTTGGGAGGCTTCTACCTCCATCAGTTAGCGGTGCTGAGTCAGAAGATGCTCAGGGTTTTCTGGATAAGTGCCAGCGGATGCTTCGGACAGCGGGTACTCTAGAGACCAGTGGGGTCTCGTGGGGCTGCCTTCAGATGGTGGGAGGCTTATGAGAGGCGCAGACCGGTTTGGTGCAGTACCACTTACATGGCAGGAGTTCTCTATTCTCTTTTTGGAGAAGTTTGTGCGGCAGTCTCGCAGAGAGGAGCTGCACAGACAGTTTGAACAGTTATTTCAGGATGGCATGTCTGTGACGCAGTATGAGATCAGATTTTTTGAGTTGGTTCATCATGCAGTTTGGCTGGTCCCCACTGATGGGGAAAGGATTAGGAGATTCTTTGATGGCCTCACGTATCAGCTGCGGTTTCTTATGACTAGGGAGAGGGTATCTGGTGCTACTTTTAATGAGGTAGTTGACATTGCTTGGCAGATAGAGATGGTCCGTAGCCAGGAGCATGGAGAGAGGGAGGCCAAGAGACCTCGTAGACCAGGTGGTTTCAACAGTGTTCCTTCAGGGGGGTCAGTTTTTTCACGACAGGGGTCGTCCTTACAGACACGCTCAGACGGGTTATCCAGCTCACCGTGGTGCATTATCCAGCCATGGTACATATAATTCTCATCAGGGTCAATCATCTCTCAGTGCCCTTCCAGCCAAGAGTTCGTCCCGTGCTCCTTTAGTTCGGCTTTCATTTGCACCGGGTGCTTCTAGCGGTTATTCTGGTTCTCGGGGCCCGATTCAGTCCTCACTACCACCAGTACCGGGGAGTTGCTTTGAGTGTGGGGAGTTTGGACATATGTGGAGGCAGTGTCCTCGTCGCCTGGGAGGTCCAGTGCAGCAGAGGAGTCAGACTACAACTTCAACACCAGTTACTTCGCCACCCGTTCAGCCAGCTCGGGGTGAGGCTCAGTCAGCTAGGGGTCACCCAAGAGGGGGAGGCCGATCAGGTGGAGGTCAGGCCCAATTCTATGCTTTTTCTGCTAGGCCAGATGTCGTTGCTTCAGATGCAGTGATCACAGGTATTGTCTTAGTGTTCCACATGGGAGCTTCTATATTATTTAACCCTGGTTCTACTTATTCGTATGTATCATTATACTTTACTCATTATCTGGATATGCCTCGTGAATCCTTAGTTTCACATGTTCGTGTATCTACGCCGGTGGGCGATACAATTATTGTGGACCGTGTATATCGGTCTCGTGTGGTAACTATTGGGGGACTGGAGACTAGAGTTGATCTCTTACTGCTCAATATGGTTGATTTTGATGTAATCTTGGGTATGGATTGGTTGTCTCCATGTACTGCTATTCTGGACTGCCACGCAAAAATCGTGATGTTGGCGATGCTGGGGTTGCCGAAGGTCGAATGGAGAGGTTCTCTAGATCATGTTCCTAGAAGGGTAATTTCTTATTTGAAAGCCCAACGTATGGTTGGGAAGGGGTGTTTGACATATTTGGCTTTTGTGAGAGATGTTGATGCAGATACTCCTACTATTGATTCAGTACCGGTAGTGCAAGACTTTATGGATGTATTTCCTGCAGACTTGCCGGGTATGCCGCCCGACAGGGATATTGATTTTGGTATTGACTTGGTGTTGGGCACTCATCCCATTTATATTCTTCCGTATCGTATGGCACCAGCTGAATTGAAAGAATTGAAATAGCAACTTTAGGAACTTCTTGATAAGGGATTTATTAGGCATGGTGTGTCACCTTGGGGTGCACCAGTTCTGTTTGTGAAAAAGAAAGATGGTACTATGCGGGTGTGGATCGATTATAAGTATCTAAACAAAGTTACAATCAAGAATAAGTATCCTTTGCCGCGTATTGATGATTTATTTGACCAGCTATAGGGAGCGAAGGTATTCTCCAAAATTAATTTGAGATTGGGGTATCACCAGTTGAAAATTCGGGATTCGGACATTCTAAAGACGACATTTAGGACTCGTTATGATCACTATGAATTTCTTATGATGTCATTTAGGCTGACCAATGCCCCAACAACATTTATGCACTTGATGAATAGCGTATTCCAGTCGTATCTTGACTCGTTTGTCGTGGTATTTATTGATGATATCCTGGTGTACTCACGTAGTCAGGAGGAACATGCAAAACACTTGGGTATTGT